AAATAAAAATAAATAAAAAAAGGAACGACACAACAAAGATTAGCATGGCCCGCGTGCTCTTACCAGTGTCCCTAGCATTCTGCAAGGAAAATGAGCAACAGCGAGATGACAAATCCAGATTACACAATCACATTGAAAGCCAGATAGTTACACCGTGTCCAGAGAGCAGCATTGCATCAATAATACACCAATGGAGGTTCGTAGTACTGAAAACCAATGTCACGGAGAGCTTTCTCTCTCCACACCAACACAAGAGTCCAGTCCCTTCACTCTCCTACTTGGCGCTCAGCGCCCAGCCTACTCCTACACAGCTATTATCAGCCGACTACTTGACCATGCAACTGTTGACATCAGCGGCAACCCGAAGTACTTGAAGATGTCGCTCAATGCAGACCATTGCCAATACAAGGTATGTGCCSTCACATCATCATCATCATCATCCTTCACCCTTCCCTGACTTTACACCCACGTCTTCCTCCCTTACACCCGAAGACCACTTATGCGCCTCACTGTAGTCCAAGCCCACCAGCTATGGTGGCTGGGCTATGGCGCTGCCCTCAGCACCGCCCTTCTTCCCTGCACGACCGCACGTGCTGCACCTCGCCTCTCAGCGCCAGCAGCAGCCCAGGAGACTTTGCTCCAGCAGCGCTGCCGCTAGCATGCGAGTGCCTGAATGAGACTCCGAGTGGCGAGCTCTTTCCTATATGGAAAGAGCCTGCCTGTTTCGCAGCCTGGCTGGACTTGGCCTGGGCCCAGAAGCTTCCGGTAGGCCCCAGGATGCTGTGTGCTACTTTGCAGCTACTGGGCCTCTGTTGGTTGGGCCTCCCAACTGTCAGTGTATGAGGCTGCGTTTCTCGTCCAGGGCCTCCGTGCTTCAGAAAGGCCCAGAAGGCCGTGGAAATGTCTTGGTTGCTCGGCCTGTGTTTCGCTCAACTGACTGGCGCGTCGCAGCTGCCTAGACCCCAAATATGCAATTGACAGTCAAAGGCCTCTTGTGATAAGTTAGGCCCGCCTTCACTTAGGGCGGGCACCACTGCAACCGGGGCCCCTTAAGCCTGCCGAGGACCCAGATCCTCGCAATTCTCTCGTGTTGTTAAAAAAAAAAAAAAGGATGACATCATGACACATTGACGATATCTTGAGAAATGATCCAATTCTACAAAGAAAAAGACACCGAAAAAGGATGGGGAGTTGAAAAAAGCCTAAAATGGGACCAAAAAAAAAAGGGAGAAAAGGGAAAAACTACACAAGGGAAGAAGAAAGAAAACAAAGGAAAAGGGAAGGGGCTGACAAACCCACGGAACAGAATGATTCACTGACCCCCTCCATGACCATGGCATCAAGCGTTGTCTCTCCACTCTCATCAGGACTCCCTCCATATCCAACTGTAATCAAAGAGAATGAAAACAAGTTGAGTGAGTGCAATGTCCGGATGTAAAAATGGAAAACACAATTTTATGAAGATGTCATCCACAAAAAATTGCACAAGCCATATTGTCTGCATCATGGCATCAGCCTTTGTTCAAGGTTTCTGTAATCTGCGTGTCATTTCCTTGCTTGATTTGCCAAAACCCTAAACCAAATGTCCACAGGCTGCAGCTCAGGTGTGACAACGTACCTGCCCGAGAGATGGTTACCTGGCGGCAGAAAAAAAAAAAAAAA